AATACTAATTAGCAAGGTTCTAAAATAATGTTTAAAACTGTTTCTTGGTTTTAAATTAAAGGTTTTTAGTTTATTTTTCCTCTTTTGCCTGCTTTTGATAGTATTCCGTTCAATTATATAAATTCGAATTTTATAGTGTTTCGATTTTTAATTTAGAAGACATATTTATACATTATTATTATACATTGATTCATTGATTTATATACCTTTCATGTCTTTTTACTCCTCTATAAGCATTTCTTAAGTCAATGGGTAGTTTATTTATTGTTTTTTGTTTTTACGTAATTTATATATTTTAAAAGAATACAATTCGATTTGAACTTCTCCTTAAAATCAGTCCACCAATTAAAGCTTTTCAGGCCGAATTTAATTTTTCCATTCAAATTTGCCGCCTATTACAGAAATCCGTTACTTTTCGTGCTGCCAGATCGTGCTTCCAAAATGTAGCCAAAATCTTTAGCTATAAGAAAAACTAGCTTTAAATGTATATATGATTTCCAGCATTAAATTAATGCGGTAAGTAGTAATTCAAACATGTAAATGTTAACTTTTTTCCATCACACTTAAATATGTTTTATTCCATTTTTAAAATTTATTAAAATTTTTTTATATTGGTTAGATATAGTTTAATTATTTTACAGAGAAGTGCTATTAAAAACAAAAAACGACTGGTGGCATCAGTAAGGTAAACGTGTTGTTATCAAATTGGAATTTATTTATTAATTTGTAAGTTTATTTATAAAAACTTTGGGAATGAAACAAATATGTCCTGCAGACCTTACAAAATTAGGTCGAATCTGGCTAAAAAAAATAGCTGACCTCGCAACTCTGAGTGTGACCAGACGGCTGGATTCGACATTCTGCCCGACCTACGGCCACACTTCGTGGTTGAGCATTTTGTATTTTTTAATTTTAGGCCAAGCAGCTCACAATGCAAGCGGTAAGATAAATGCCGGCTAAATTTAGCCTCCGTTACTCATTACTTTGTGCGTCACTCCGTGCAGATCTGGCGAGGAATGCCAGGGCTCGTGGTCCTGCTCCTCGCAGGACTTCTGTTGGGCCTCCAGGATGCGGAGGCCTACGACAAGGAGATGACCGTCTATGTGGACGCCGGCAAAACGGAATGTTTGTACCATTCGGTGCGCCAGGGCGAGACCATTGACTTTGAGTACCAGGTGATCGATGGCGGACACGGCGACCTGGACATCAGCTTCACCCTGCTGGATCCCATTGGCCTGGTGATAGTCAGCGATTTCAAGAAACCGGAGAATGTCCATCGTCACGAGGTGGCCAAGGAGGGCGACTATCGCTTTTGCTTTGACAACAGCTTTAGTATGTTCAACCGGAAGACGGTGTTCTTCGAGCTAATTGTGGAGCGGGAGGGCGAGGAGCTCCAGGGTGACACCCAGTGGAACGAGGTGGACGAGCTCACGGGGCTCTCCCGCGACGAGTACTACGACATGAAGGTGCAGGACATCATGGACTTCATTGGACGCATTCGTCTGCAGCTCAACAAGGTCCGCCAGCTGCAGGATGTACTGCGTTCGCACGAGGCACGCGACCGCAATCTGGCCGAGTCCAATTTCCAGAAGGTCAACCACTGGTCCATGCTGCAGATCAGCGCCATGATCGGTGTGGGTCTCATTCAGGTCTTTATGCTGCGCAGCATCTTCGCCACCGGCGGACGGATGCACGATCTGTGGCGCAAACTGGGCATTTGATGGGTCGGAGACCAGTGTCCAGTGTCGAGGAGAAGCCTCTACCAAAGATGTGCGTGCCGGAGCCGCGAGGATGCATTTATTGATCGAGTAGATGTCCCCCAAGTGAATGCCATCCGGCAGCGGGATCCCCTAGTTAGATTTTAATTTAAAACAAAAAACTTGCCATCATCATCTGTAGTTCGTTAGTTTCTATATGCATGTATGTATTAACATGTATTATGTAGCCGAGAGATAGTATTCCGTGTATTTATAGATATGCGGGTGTGTGCTTGTGATATACCCGGTGTGTTGTGTGTGCTCGCGTGTTCGAGGCGTTGTTAAACGAAAGCAATTGTATCATTAAGCCTGGAGAAGAGTTTGATATTAAATTTAAAGTTGCAGGAACCAGTGTAAAAAAGGCGTTTTACCATCTACCCGGGGGTTGGATAACTTAACGGATTTTCCTTAAAACTGGGATCTCTTGAGAGTTTTTGAATGACTGCGAGGGGTAGTCATACGAGTCTATACTATGAGACTTGGAACTTGAAGTTTTTAAAATAACTAACGAACAGATCTTCCTTTGTTCAACTTTTTTTATAATTAAGAACAACCTCAAAATATCTTGATTAACTATATTTTAGTTAAAAACATATAATGAAATTTAAGAAAGCTAAATAATAATCATTAATTTGTAGCCATTTTTCTCGGCATAAAATACATTAACAGTTTGAAATCTAATGTACACTGCTATCTCATATTGTAGTGTTCCTTGAAATTGTCAAGTGGTTAGATAAAAAATACTAGGTACCCACCTTTTCGCTTTTGTATTCCAATTATCTTTTTAAGCTGAACACAGAAATTGCATTAGCAAACTACACTGAAAATTTCTATCTGTTCAATCGACTTAATGTGGAAATATTTAAAACGTTATAAGGCTAGCTAAAAAATATTTTTTAATTTACTCTCGTTTGTGCTAAAAAAACCTCTCTCAAAGAGGAATACATTATTTTTTTGTATGTTTTAAGTTTGAATTTAGAAAATAACCTCTACAATTATAGGAGGTTGTTTTTTAGGTTCCTTAACCTGAACATTGCATTATTATAAATATTTTAACAGTTGGCTCCATTTTTGTATGGAAAATGTATATTTATAAGGATTTGGTTATTTTTATAACGATTCTGAATGAATCAAGTTTGGCTGGTCTGTTTAAATTGTTCGCAGTTTTAATCGTTATAACTTATGGTTTTTAAAACGAGCATGGGTAGTTTTGTGGTAAGTCACTCTCCTCATGATAAAATTCTTATAACGTTAAGTCCTATCTTTAAATACTTCACTTCGCAAGACGATCTTTAGGGAACAGTGCTAATCGTATAGTAATCGTCCTAATAAAGTCAGCCTGCATTTCTGGAGTCCGACTCCAAAATGATGACTATAACCTCCTTCGTAAAGCTTCCCCACAAGAATCCATTCCAAGCAGAATATCTTTCAAGGTTCGTTGGACCGGGAGAACAAGTGGCTAGCAGATCCGCATTTCTGCTAGCAAGGAGTTGGTTCCTTGACATTTCCGCTGAAAACTATCTCTTCTCAATGGAATTTCCTTCTTCTACGACAATTTCCTGTTAAATACACCTTTCTTACTAGGTTCCTCCACCTAGATCCATTTCAAATCGATGTTCTCTCCAAGATCCACTAGACAATCGTCGGTTTTTCGAACAGTTTATCAATCGTTTAATGGCTAATAAAAAAAAATGGTTAGCAGATCCGCATTATTACTATCATGGAGTTGTTTATTGACATTTCCGCTGGAAACTAGCTTGCAACATGGGGCAATGGCAGTGGATCCGCGGCCAGTGGCGTCTCCTGGTGTAGTGTAGAAGGGTTTTTGTTTTTAAGGGGGGTGCGGGGGTGTAACTAGCCTAGCCTAGGCGGCCTTGTTGAGGCGCTTCTGGCGTTCCAGCAGCCGGCGCTCCCGCTCGAACTCCTTCATGCGAAGGACGTAGTCCTCGTACTCGCAGGTGAGGTACTCGTGCTTCTGGTGGGCGCACTTGTACACAAACGGGAAGGTGTCCGTGCGGCAGGCCTGGTAGGCGATGGCCAGATGGGCGCAATAGTCGCGGGCGTCCAGCGGCAGCTTGGCGGACTCCATCTCCTCCTGGGTGGCGATCATCACACGCTCCTTGCGCGACTTGAAGCCCAGCATTGGGTCAAAGGTGGTCACCACATCCGGGCCGGGCATCACGTCCGGTTTCAGGTAGTGCTGCAGCGCGTTGCCCATCCTGCTGGCATGGAAAAATCGTTTTAGTACCCTTGCAAATCCTCGGAATTCGCACAATTAAATTACGTAAAATGTTTTTCTTCGATTTCGGTTGCGGTGCAGCTGTCAAAGTTCTTCTTCTTCCTGCCCCTGTTGTTTTTGTTGCAAGTGACAGCTGCTGGCCAGGGTTGCCAGCTCGCGGGGCCGTCGGCGTTTTACAGCACTGAACAAAGAACAGCTGATTGGTGTAGACTGTCGTTTGGCATGTATTGTTTTTGAAAACTTAACTTTTCTAACGGAACTTTTGGGAAAACTGAAAGACGTTTTGGAGTTAAATCATGGAATGAATGTTAAGGGAAAACTCTCAAATTCTTTGTCCAAAACATTCAAATAACATAAAACTTTCAATGGAAATAACAATTATTGTACATTTTTAAAGTCCGCCAAAAATATTATAGCTCTCAGTAATATGTCCCTCTAAAATAATTTAAAGTCTTTAATTTGATTGAAAATTATGTGTCGTTCTGCAATAAGCAGATAAAAAGAAGAAATAATATAAATGCTTAAAGCTGAATGCTTTTGACCTAGAAAACGTATGAAAATTTTAAGATCAGACAAGAAGCTTAAATATAAATACAAAAAAATAGGGATAGTAAATTAAAATGCAATCCTCGGGAAAATGTGTGAATTTCTTTAGGAAGTTATCTTGTTACATTTAGAAAACAGGTAATATTTTATTATTATATAATGTTATCTTAAATTTAAAACTATAAGCTAACAGGTAATACTTAAGCTCAAGGTAATACTTTAATAAATAACATACAACAACAATTCAAATTTGGTTCACATATAAGGGTTAAATGATTCATAGTTCCCTAGAACTAAAGCGGTTAATAAGTAAATCCGATTTGAAAAACAGGACACTCGCTTTTCAACACTGTTCCCGGCCAGCTGAGCGTCCTCTCTCACAGGAAGCGGCAAGAAGCAGAGCGAACAAGAACAACAACACAGCGGGGTGAAGGAGAGACCGAAAGTTTCAGTTCTCTCGTTCCCATTGTACCGTTGCGTTGTCGTTCGGTGTGTGTTTTTTTTTTGCGTGAAAGTGACAAAAGCAAATGGCAAATGGCAGAAACAAAGCGCACTAAAAACGCCAGACGATGCACGTCAAAATAGTTAATTCCTAGTTGTTAATTCATTGTTTGTTTAAATAACCGCTGTGCAATATAAATCATTAGCCAAAACGAGAGAGCGAGTGGAAGAGAGGCCAACGTTGTAACGGTAGACGGTGACGGTAACATTAACGGTAACGGAGCATTAGAATATATAGAAAATATCGATTGGAGCACTGGATCCAACGGGAAATCGGGCCAAAATGGTTGGTCTGCTAAATCCGCTCAAGTATGGCGACCATTTCTACGAGCTGTACACGAACAGCACGCGCAGGTAATCCCCGCCAGCATCTGGATACCTATATATCCCGGAGTCGCCTTGGCTCAACCCCTTGCATCCCGTACATCCCATACATCCCATACAGCCCACACATCCCATCCATCCGCACGGGGTGGAAAAATCGATCGCTGCACTCGGCTTTCGGCTTCCAATCTGGGTCTTCAACCCCTACGCATTCGCATTCTCTCTCCGATGTCGTTTGGCACCCCCCACCCCCTCTCGGAGTTTTGGGGGTTGAAACGGGCGGAAGTGGACAGTCCTGCGCCGAACAGCTGAGCGCCGCTCGAAATCAGCTGATTGTCGAGAGCACCGCGACCTGCATTAACCCACTGATGGCCCACGGGGGTGGCGGTGCGGTGTTAAGAATGTCACCCCCTGTTGTACCGCCAAAAAACATTCTCAAGGGGGAAACCATATCAAACGCTTGGGAAATATATATTTTTTCACACGTATTTATCATCCTTAAGAAAAAAATATCATTCCTTGATAGATGGTTAAATTGTTACCAAGAAATGCAAAATCAATTTCAGCACAGTTTATCCTTAATCCCTTAATCCTTAAAAATAGTGCACCATTTAAAATCAGTCAGAATATTGCTAGGGAGATCTTTTACCAAATGAATAGTTCTTAATCAATATACATACATACATCAAGAATTGAAGATTATGATTGTCGTAATATATTTTTCCATCCAAGTTTACTTTTACTTATCATTTAAGATATTTTCTTGATAGATGGTTAAATAGTTACCAAGGAATGCAAAATCAATTTCACATCGCAGTAAGGATTGTAGCACAGTTATAGCCCTTAATCCCTATAGATAAGGCACCATTTAAAATCAGTCAGAATATTGTTAGGAAGATCCCTTACCTAATGAATAGTTCTTAATCAATACATATCAAGAATTGAAGATGATGATTGTCGTGATATATTTTTCCATCCAAGTTTACTTTTACTTATCATTTAAGATGTTTTCTTGATAGATGGTTAAATAGTTACCAAGGAATGCAAAATAAATTTCACATCGCAGTAAGGATTTTAGCACAGTTATAGCCCTTAATCCTTATAGATAGGGCACCATTTAAAATCAGTCAGAATATTGTTAGGAAGATCCCTTACCTAATGAATAGTTCTTAATCAATACATATCAAGAATTGAAGATGATGATTGTCGTGATATATTTTTCCATCCAAGTTTACTTTTACTTATCATTTAAGATGTTTTCTTGATAGATGGTTAAATAGTTACCAAGGAATGCAAAATAAATTTCACATCGCAGTAAGGATTTTAGCACAGTTATAGCCCTTAATCCTTATAGATAGGGCACCATTTAAAACCAGTCAGAATATTGTTAGGAAGATCCGTTACCAAATGAAAAGTTCTTAATCAATATATATAATATATATATAAAGAATTGAAGATGATGATTGTCGTGACCTATTGTTCCATCAAAATTTAGCTTTACTTATCATTTAAGATAGTACCCAAAAAACTGCAAAGCTTCCTTAGTACCTTACAAACTTACAGTGATCGCCAAATTTAAATTTACAGATAAAAATATCCGAGAATATTACGAGATAAAATTCCAAAGGCAAATTCAAATTTAAAAATTCTTGTTTTATCATGATAAAAGAAAACTTTTGGAAGAAATTAAAAAAAATATATGCTCACCACATTTTTTATAAATACTTTACAACCAAAAAACTTTTAATTGAACGCCTGGACCCCAGTTAGTTGGCAAAATACCAACACGGCTCAAGGAAATCGATTTTGCAAAATACGGGTTAGAAGTTTTAATTGCCTTGCACATTTTATGGGGTAAAATGTCTATATCAATTGATTGCTGCAAAATTGACCTAGAATATTTACACATGAAACAATTTTTAAATCAAATTTGTAATAAAAGTTGATGGGTTTTGATATCAAATTGCTTTTATTGAGATAAGATATATTTTTTAGCAATGCTGGCTATTTCTTAAAACTAATTAAATTGAGTAATACATCAAAATAAGGGTTAATAGTTCTGTGATTTGTTCAAATTTTCAATTTGTATTTTCTCTATTTTTGTGTTATATCGCTTATAACATAAATGAAATACCTTCGATAAAACCACAATTGGGCATTATTTATGCAGGCAAGTAGTTACTGAATAATTCAGCTGCCCGACCACACACTTTTGGATCAGTTTGCAAACTTTAAAGCCAGTAATTGCCGCTTTTGCGGGAAAAGCACAAGTTGGGTAGCCGCACAAGTTGGGAAGTGGCCATCGGTACTCGAAACCACCTGTCAGCTGAAGGATCCAAAGTTCCGGATGCACACGGGCATTTTTCGGGTACATACATTCCAAAGCTTGCACCCTTGCGTGGCCGATATATGTGCAACTGGATTCCAAAAATAGCTCCCAGCATCCTGCACAAAAGCTTCCCAGTTGATAAGAGCCACTAAAGAGCAAAAAGCTTCCCATCGCCAACAAAAACAAATGCAAATTCTCCGCCAGGTCCTCGACATATTAAGCTTGTTTGCCTTCTCAGTTATCTGGAATGCGTTTTTGATTTATGACCTATAGTTCGAGTAGTGTCCCCCTTAATTATTTTTTTTCAAAAGTTTTCTTCAAGTAAGTAAAGTCAAGTGGTCAAGTGTGTTTCAAGTGATTCGGGATTTTAAGGATATACCGCTTTTTTAAGGATTCCGAAGTTCAAAATATTATGAATTCAACTCCCATCAACTTATATTTTGAATTGTGTATCATGATAATTTAATAAATACCGCGTTAATAGCTTGTTGACTTAAATCAACTAGTTGCTTCACACAACATAAAATAAAATCAACTGTTATAAAGTTTACTCTTCTATTTAAAAATACTCCAAAGGTCATAGGTTAAGCTAGATACATTTCTTGCATTTACTAGCGTGGGAGTTAATGGATACACATTTTTTAATTTTTTTTTTAATTTTTTTAATCTATTATAAGTGCTGGTAAATATATATAAGATAAATGTAATATTATGCAGTCTCTCTCTCTCTCTATAATATTTAAATAAATCTTTTTTTTTAATATTTTATAATTATATATATATTTTTTAATACAGAAAGCACTTAATTAAAGTATATTATATTATTATGTACCACTATTATTTTATAAATACCGGCTTAATTTAAATCAACTAGTTGTCTCACTCGAAATAAAAACACCTGTTAAAAAATTAATCCGCAATGTATTAATATTCCAAAGGTCAAAGGTTAAGCTTTATACATTTTTTTGCAATTACTAGCGTAGGAGTTAATAGATACACATTTTATTTTAAATAAAAAAATCCTTTATAGGTGCTGGTAAATTCATACATGTTTAAAGTATATTATCAAATATTGTTATTAATGTTTTAAAAATAAATATTTTTTAATTTACTTATAGAAATTTATTTTTTATACACCTACTGAAATATTACACTTCCAAAAAATATTTTTTTTATCAGCTGGGAAAATTTTTGTATAATTGGCGCTTAAAACTTTGATACACAACATTTTCAAGAATTTCAATATTTTGTTAAATTAAAATGAAATCTAAAATTATTTTCAATTCATTACTTATTGAAACATAAAAAATATTTTACCCATTTTTTATATTAATATTTGTATTAACCCATAGTTTTTTGCCTTTTTCAGAAAAATGCAACACGATCGCAAGGTGTTAACAAAGCGCAAAAGTCGGAAGGACAAATCGGCGGCAGCGATGGCCGCGGCAGCAGCAGCGGCTGTTCTGGAGGGGAATGTGGGAGCAGGTGGACTGGTGAATCCGCTGGATCCACCACTGGTCAAGGAACAACTGATGATCCTGCCCTCGTTTCCGGTGGCGCACATCGAACTAGATCCGAATGCGTCCAAGTTTGCGGTCTTTTCAGCGATTAGATCCACGGTTCTGGAGGCGGAGACGCGGTACTCCCTGTTCCAGGAGGGTGGAGCGGCCGCTGGCCAGTCCGGATCGGGACTGAAGAAGTGGAGCAATAACCTTAACTCCTCCTGCTGCATGATGTGCGCCCACAGCTGTATGATAAGCAACATTCTCGATTGCCCCTGTCACGCCCATCTGGGCATGCACGGTGCAGTGGGACCGGGAAATGGAGCTCCTGGCGGGCCGGTGGGTGTGATTGTCGAGGGACGCGTACCGGCTCCGGTGCCAGTGGTGGTGGGAGGGCCGGGTATGCCGGCCGAGAAGCGACCACGCCGCGATAGCGCCAACAGCGATGCGGACTCGGACACGGAGGAGCCCACCGAACGGGAGCCCGTCTACGCCACCGTGCCCCTGATTGTGGGCGCAGGATTGCGAAGTCTCTTTGAACTGATCGCCGATGCGCGGCATGTTCATCCACTCTTGTGCACCAAGGCATTGAAGGCTCTGCTGGACGTCATCCAGGGCCAGCAGCCGGAGAGCTTCAAGCTCGAGCCGGAAGAGCTGATCAATCCGCTGTACGATCTGCTCCTCGATCTGGCCACCATGCCGGCGGCCCTCAATTCGGCCACGGGTGCGGAGGCCAACTGGTCGGCCATGGCCTGTGCCGCTCTCCTGGGACTCTGCATAGCCCGCGGCGACACCGGCAAGATGCTCAAGGCCATCGCCGCCATGCTGATGACGCCGCGCCAGCTCTCCGCCCAGATTGTCCAGCTGCCGGTGGTCCTGGCCACGTTGCAGCACACGGTGGTCAGTGCCGCCCTGAATAAGCCCACAAGGCCGGACTTTCACAGCCACGGGGTGCCGCACAATTCCCTGATTGATGAGGTGAGTGCTGAAGGTTGCCCCACAAAGAAAAACTTTTAAAACCTATAAAATGCTATAAAATTCTTTCAAAGTCATTCTTTACCGATTTGTTAAAACACTTTTTTTAAACCCAAGAAAATCTATAGTTAAGAACTACATATAACCAGTTTCATGTACAGCACGATAAAACTAGTTTTGTTCTATAAAAAATGTTGTTAATAACTATTATTATATTATGTTATATGTTATTACTATATATTACATGTTGTGCTCTCCTTTTTTTTCAGTTTCCCCTGAAGTTGCCGCCCTTGAGCACCGGTGCGCCCATCACCTCGCCAGCAATGGCCTGCGATGGAGTGTTTGTGTACCTACTGTATGGAGGAACCCTGCTGAAGATCGGCACTGGCTTTGGGGGATCCTACAAGGGGCACGTCTATGCCCAGAACGAGGACTTTAGCCACGAGCGGAGTGCCTGGCTGGGCTACAGTGGCGGGCAGCTCTACTTCCGGCGCACCTGTCGCCGGAGTGCAGGCGACCAGCTGCAAATGGTGGGCCTGGACACGCTGGCCATCAAGGCGATGAGTCCCTTGAGCATGCTGCACATGCGCGAGGGACTCAACTACGTGCTTTTCACGGACGACGACTCACTGCACGCCATCTGCAGCAACCGCGATGTGAGTATTGGTATTTAATATGTCTTAGCCAGCCCCCAAATTTTAATTTAAGCTAGGAGAAATATTTATAAAATATACTCGCGAATTCTTGAGATTCAAATGATAGTATATACTAAAAATCTAACTTACTAAAATCCTGAGTCAGGATATTCCAAGCTAATTTATTAATGAATTTTATACTTTTCTATTATTTTATGTAGGACACACTGGTGGTGAAGAAACTGAATCTGTACCACAATAGCTACAACATTGACCCACCGCCCTTCGAACTGCCGCTGCAGTTGGCCCGCAAGAAGTTCCGGACACTGGGCTATGCGGCTTTCGAGGATGAGCTGCTCAACCAGTATCAGATCCAGCGAATCCAATCGGCTCACAACAGCTTCGAACCGAAGCTACCGGCTCCTTGCCGGGATGCGGATGTAGATGTCATGGGCATGGCCTGCGGAAAGGAGTTCGGTCTGGTGCGGGCCAGCAATGGCAGGGTTTACTATTACGGAAAGTCCGCAGCCCTGGGACTCAAGTGTGTGGGTCGCACCCCGACGTTAAAGCTCACCGAGCTGGTGATCTCCAAGGCGGCCAATATAGTCCACGTGGCCGTGGGACACGATGGCATCCATGCTTTGTTGGTCAACGATGATGGGACCGTCTTCTTTGCGGGAACAGCCCGTCGCGGCGAGGATGGGGATAGCAGCAAGAATCGGAGACAACCGAAGGCGGTGAAGCCCAAGAAGATGACTAAGATCGATGGTCATGTGGTGGTCCATGCCGCCTGCAACAATGGCACCTCCGCCTTTGTGACCAAAACGGGAAAACTGATAATGTACGGCAAGGATACGGCCCACTGCGATGCCATGGGCTTCGTCAGTGAGCTGCTGGATCAGCATGTGACCAAGGTGGCCCTGGGCAAGGCCCACTGTGTGGCCCTCAATGCCAAGGGGCAGCTCTTCTCGTTCGGGCTGAACAACAAGGGTCAGTGCGGCAGGATATTCAACAAGCTGCAGCCGGTGAAGGATGTGCCCCCGTTTGCCTCATCCTCAACGGCAGCCGCCTGTTTTGCATCCCTGCTGCCACTGGACAAGCGCCTGAAGTTGGACTTCTCCACGCTGTGCGACTACGATGATCACAATCTGGTCCAGGGTCAGTGCCGTGTGTGCGTCATCTGTCGAGAGTGCACCGGCTACAATGTCAGTTGTGTCTCCGCCCTGAATGTCCCGTTGGAGCAGCGCTTGGCGGGCAGCATATGTCCCTGTGGTCACGGAGATGCCGGCTGCGCCAAGTGTGGTCTCTGCGCCGCCTGCATTGCCCTTCAGGACAGCGATGGTGAGTTCATCTGCTTGGCTGGGCATACCTATTTAAGTGCTAAACACCCATCTCCCCCTGCAGAAGCCAAAACGGAACTGAAGCCTCCACCAAGTGACGTGCAACAGCGCCAGCAGCGCTCCAAAACGCTAATCATGCGCCGCAAGGAGCGTAAGGGCGAACTGGAGACAGGGGCCGCCGGCGGAGGAGCTGCCACGCCCACTGACCTGGACAAGGATCCGCCTCGAGTGGCTCCTTTGGCCCCACAGCTGCTGCAGCTCACGAGCTCATCACCTGTGGTCCAGGTAGCCTGTGGATTGCATCACACCGTGGTGCTTACTTTGGCCGGCGAAGTCTACACCTTTGGAAGCAACCAGTACGGTCAATTGGGCAGTGGAGATCTGCAGCCGGTGAGCGGACCCGTTCGTGTCCAGGTTTCCGGAGCCATCAGCCAAGTGGCCGCTGGTAGCAATCACACCGTACTGTTGACATCCAAGGGAATGGTGTACACATTTGGCAACTACCAGAAGGGACAACTAGGACGGTTACCCAGTGACTATGGGGTGAAGCCCCCGCCCCAGGACGACGACTCTCCGGTGGGACCGGGATCTGATGGTGGGGGAGCGGGAGGATCGCCAACTGTTGCGCCGGTGGGAATGCCTGGCCCAGAGCGATCCCAGTCCCCGGCCACCGTGCAGCCAAGTGGCTCTAAGGAGATGCCTCCGCTGATTCCGGTGCTCACCCAGCGCCAGAAGTTCCTTTGGAACTGCTCGCCCGGAGCCGTCTTGTAAGGGAATCTACTAGGGGAATAATTGTACACTGATCACTAATGGGAAACTCACTTCTTTCTTCCAATTTTCCAGTGGTTTGGGCCCCTGCTATGGCAAAAAGGTCACCTGGATTGGAGCCAATGGAGATCAGACCTTCATCAAGATAGACGAATCCCTGATCACGGCCCAAATGCTGCCCAAGATGCATGTGGTGGCCAACAAGAAGACGATATGTAAGTGTACAATCGCACAATCGATGGGAAACCAAAGCTAATCTTTTAATCATCCTGCCACCGAAATAGTGCTCATACCCAGCATTCCGCTGTCCTTCCACACGCTCTCCATAAATCGGCGAGATGGAAGTTGTACGGCCCATTATCGAGGACAAACCAACTTTGTGAAACTAATGCAGGCACAGCCGGAGCAGCAGCAGCCGGAGATCAACTCCAACCTGGATGTTGCTGTGACTCCTGTGGCGGATTCGCCGGCGCACGCCTCCACCTCGTCGCTTCTAACGGCCTTGACGGGCACAGCCACGGCTGGAGTGCCCATCAACGAGCAGATGTCCCGGAGCATGCACGAGGGCCGCAACCAGATCTTCGAGGAGCAGCCGCCCCCAGAGGTGGGATCATCTCCTGCAGCAGCGGGAAGTGGAACAGTAGCAGCTCCTGGAACACCGGGATCGGGCTCCGGGGTGGCGGCAGCAGGATCTGTGCCAAGACCTCGGCGTGGTGGCAAGCAGGGTGGCAGTTCCCCGGAACCCATTCCATCGCCACCACAACTGGCCTTCACCATGGACCCCACCTACAATGTCCTGTGGGTTTTCGATGGAGCTGCACGCAAATTGCGCTGCCACAATGTCGTGGCCAGTGACATCAACGAAAGCGACGTGGTGAGTTAGAAGGTTATATGTTTATTTATTTCAATCTTAACTGGGTACTCGTTGAGCAAAAGGGTATACTTTAAACTATGAAAGCTAGGAAGCTGGAACTATGCATGCAGATTCTAGAGATTCTTGCGTAGCACAAGTTTATTTTTTTAAGTCGGGTATATCATAGTCGAGGCATGTTTATTTATTTATTTATAAATTTTATTCATTGGTTACTTATCAGATCTTATGACACAAACATTTCCTATAATATTCACATATAACCCCTCGATCTCTTCCAGAACTCGGCAACCTATCGATCGCTTCTCTCGCCGGAACTATCCCTACCGGATCGCGTGGACTCCCGCGTGGCTCGTTCACAGGCCTCCCTGAATCTTCTCGCCTGCCTGGACATCCTCACGTCGGCGCAGGACAACATCCCCGGATGCTTCGAGCAGCCGCTGCTCAAGCAGACCCAACAGACGGCGGAAGCGCAGGCCGGCGAGTTCCAGGTGGTCAGCCGGTTCGATAACTTTGGCGGCGGTTGGGGCTACTCCGGCCACAGTGTGGAGGCCATCCGCTTCTCGGCGGACACGGACATTGTGATCTGTGGCTTTGGAATGTTCGGCGGTCGCGGAGAGTACAGCTGCAAGCTGAAGCTCTTCGATCTGGGCGGCGATGGCGGTGGCTACGAGAAGGAGGGCATCCTGATCAGCGAGACCAAGGAGGTGCCGTACGAGTGCGGCGCCAGGAGCAAGCACCACATCCTCCTGCCAAAGCCGGTCAGTGCGGTGGCTGGCAGATGGTACCTGGTGTGGGCTCGGATCGCAGGTCCCTCCTCCGATTGCGGATCCTGCGGCCAGGCCTCCGTGACCACCGAGGATCAGGTGGTCTTCTCCTTCAAGTCCAGCAAGAAGGCCAACAATGGCACCGATGTCAACTCCGGACAGATACCAGCCATTCTGTACCGCCTGGTCACCCAGGACTGCAAGCAGACGCCGGCCCAAATGGACGCCGATCCTGTGCAGCGCATTTCCCGGGCCTTTGCCAACAGCGTGAGCCGCGAGTGCTTCGAGAGCTTGGTGGTCCTGCTCAGCTGGTCCTGGGATTGCTTCAAGTTGCAGCTGCGCGAGGAGCGGGATCGCTCCCGACCACTGCAGCTCCAGCAGTCGCTGCAGTACCTCGGCTATGTCATCAAGTCATGCCTGCGCCTGTTGCGCAAGTACACTAACGAGATTTACCCCCAGCGGAGCTCCTCCACATCGCTGGCAGCGGGCGGTGGTGGCTCCAATGCCGCCCATGGCAATGGCCAGGTGACCACCGCCAAGGTGATCCAGTCCAAGGCAAACAAAGGTGACCGCTGCTTGTATATACAACTGTTTCTTTTGCTAATGAACTCCTTCCTATCTTCTTGCAGACAAGAATGCCCCGCGTGTGGTGCCCGGTGGAGCGGTAATGGCCAAGTACTTTGGAGACCCATCGCCATCGGCGGCCCCAGCCATGATCAGCAGTGGCGGAAGTGGAGGAGCACCATCCACATCAGCCTCGGCAGCGGTGGCAGCCGGCAGCGGAACTCCCGCGACGCGGAAGACCAACATGGAGAACATTCAGCTGGCGGAGTGCATCGGCAATGTGAGGGCCCTACTCATTGGCATCTTTTGTGACGACATCTTCAAGGATATAGCCACGGATGAGGGTGAGTTGGGAGTCGGAATGTATATAAATCCATTTCTTATAAACCTCGTTGCCTTCGCAGGCTACGAACTCTCGCTGGAGATCCTGGACGAGTGCCACCTGAGCTTCGTTGCCTGCTTTGATGCCTTTTATCCGACGTCCTCGCTGAAGTGGAACTGTCTGTGCGACCTGCTTGCCCAGATGGATCGTGGAGCCCTGCATTCCCGCCTGCTGAGCGCCATCCTGGCGGGACTCTGCTCACCCTCGGTGAAGTTGAGGGCCACCTTCTCGCTGCTCAGTGCGGCCGGAAACGAGCGCCAGTCGATCATCAGTCCCAGCGATAATTCCGGCCTGCCCATGCTCTCCTCCACGGACGCCCATCCGTATCCAGTGCTGGTGGAACAGATGATCTACCGCACGCAGCAGGAGAAAAGCGACTTCCTGAGCAACTCCTGGACATTCAAGGATGTGCTCGTGAGACTGCTGGACATAATCGCCTCTCCCATTCGCTCCCGCATCGAGGCGATTTACAGCCGAAGTCTGGGAAGCCTTGGTGGTAGCTATCTCGGCGGCAAGGAGTGCGTCAATCAGGGCCTCATAGACAACTGTTGTCACCTGCTGGCCAGGGTTCTGGCCGAGATCGTCTACCAAACGGCGATGGGGGAGTATGATAAACTGTTCATGCCGCCCAGGACGCTCCATTCGACGGGAGCTCGCTTCGCCCGCTGCGATGTGAGTCGCACCTGGAATACCGGAAACTTTGGACCCGATGCCATTGCCTTCGCCGTGGATCGACCTGGTGTGGCCATAGCTGGCGCCATGGTTTACTCGGGATCCGGGAGCTATGACTATCAGTTGGAGTTGCTGTACGACAATACGGCGGATCTGCAGCCGCAGCACAAGTGGGAGACCCTGGAGTCGGTGTCGGGCAGCTACGACCAGGATGCGGTCCACAACGATCTGGCCGAGATTAAGTTCGATCACCCGGTGCACATCAAGGAGAACGCTCGATACGCCCTAAGACTGTGCTCCCAGGGGGCACGCACTTGCTCCGGTGACGCCGGCATGCCAGCGGTTCGAGGACCTTGTGGTGCCCAGTTTCACTTCTATGCTTGTGACCTGAGCTTCAATGGCACCACTCCGGCTAGGGGTCAATTGCCCTGCATTCTGTACTACAGCACACCCATGAAACAGGACGGAAACTCAGCCAGCGGACGATCTGGCGATGGAGCCAATGTGGTGCCCCACATGGAGGAGCGAATGATGCTCCTAGGACCCCACGAGGTCTCCACACGGGATACAGCCCTGCAAATCGCCGCTGACATCACCAAGAAATGCACTGAGCTGCTCATCCTGGCGCGCAACGCCATGGCTGCCTCTTGCTCGCCCTCGGATAATAGTTCCAATCACACACAGACCATCGATTCCGAGCACAATATCACGCCCATCGAAGAGCATATGGACATCAATTGGGCCAACAACTCTAGGACGGCCGCCCTGCCCACTGCTATCGATCCTCAGCTGTCGACGGCCAGGGATCTGGGCAAGCGCATCGAGTCCTTTTCGAAGGGTCTCATGGAGACCCTCAAGTTCGACAAGCGATCCACCAATCCTTTCGAGATGGAAATCGAGATCGGAGCCACCGAAGTGGAGGAATCGGCGGACTTGAGGAATGGCCAAAGCCAAAGCCAAAGTCAGAGTCAGAACCAAAGCCAAAGTCAGAGCCAGAGTGTTCCGATAAATGGCAATGAGAGGACCACGGATTTCGAGATCGCCGAGCAACCGGCTCAACAGTCGGTGACCCAGCAGGTGCTCTCCGACTCGGAGGAGGCTCCGCTGGAGGTGGCCGGAATGGCGGCGGCTGGTAGTGGAGTAAGTGTGGCCGGAGGATCCGGCGGCGGAGGAGTGGCCGGAGTTGGAAGTCAAGTGGCCGCGGTGCAACTGCTGGAGGTATTCAATCTGGCCGCCTCTAATATGTTCCACACTCTACTGCCGCTGGTCTATGCCCACATTGCCAACCTAGCCTGCAGTGATCCCAAGAGCTCCGTCCAGATTCTGGGTCTGATCAAGGAGATCCTTCCGCACATCGCTGCCCTAAACCAGCTGCACGTCTCCAAGGATCAACGTCAGCCGGAACCGGTTCTCTTTGCCACACAGGCCTCGAATTCTGGCTCTAGCTCGAGTAGCAGCACCACCAGTAACCACTACTGCGTGGTGGAGAGTGAGCATCCGTACCGGAGCGCCAGCATCAGCAGCTATCGCGTGGAGTTCCCGCCCTGCGTCCAGTGGCTCACCATCGAGTTTGACCCGCAGTGTGGAACGGCCCAGCTAGAGGATTATCTGCTGCTGTCGATACCCATGCGTCCTGCCTCGCAGGCGCCGTTGGTGCCGCATGTGGATGACTATCTGGAGCAGGCGGACAACAATGTGCCGGGTGCACAGGCGGACAGGAGGCGCACCACAGGCGGCGGAATCGCCGGAAGCGGAGCAGCGCCGAGCTCACACCAACGCTCCGCCAGTGTCCAGTTGACCATGGCCAGTTGCTGTCGCAGTCCTGGTGGCGGGAATGCTCCGGGATCCGCGTCTGCTCCCAGTTCCGTGCCCCTGCGCAGCCAGGATCCCAACGACAGGGAGTGGATTGTGGTCAAGAAGTTTAACACGTAAGTGGAATGATAACTCTATGGGTGATTTCAATTCTAACTGATCCGGAATTTCCGTTTATCCTTAGCGCCTCTACCTGGCTGCACAATGTCCTCATCCTGCCCGGCAACTGCGTGGAGTTCTCCCTGGAAACAGCCTCGCTTTATGCCCAGGATCCGCACAACAATCGCTATGGCTTCAAGTGTCTAGTGGTGGGATACGACAATCCCACATCGGTGAGTCTCGGCCCGACTCCAAAAATCAAACTGCCGTCCCTTTCTAAACCATGTTTTTCCCTCTCGCTCAGATCAATGCCAGCAACTCGTGTCTGATTCGACTGGAGCAGGAGTTGGCCTACTTGGGCGGCATGTGCAGTGCCAATCTGATGAAGAAGGAGCTCAACCTGCCAGGTGATTTATGAAATGTGTGCATCGCACTTTGGGTTTACTTTAAAGTTCCTATTTACCACATTAGATGACAAGGACGTGGAGGACATGAGCGGCGTTGAGGAGACCATCAACGCCCATCACACCCTGCTCTCCAAGGGATTTGCCCTGTCCGAACCCCAGTTGACCGTGCACCAGGCCTTGGAATCGTATCTGCCCATCGGGTGAGTTTCATTTAAATCATTTTTTTAATTACACACAGAAAAACTTTTGGGTAGAATTGACCAATTTAATTGTTAAATGGCCCCAAACCAAACCAATAGTTACTTTCCCAACAACTAAATACATACAACTAACTACAACTTACTAATAAATAGTAACCAAAGCAACAGCAAAATATACGTCACTATTTTTGTATAGTTGTTAACCCATTTCTACAGTTACGTAACTATCCATATTGGTAAATATTACCCATAACATTTTTTTGTGTGTACTCTCTTGTACTCATAATGAAAAAATTAATTAAACTGTAACATTTGAGAATCTATAAATGGACCTGATTTAATAAGTATTTCATTTACGATGATCTTGTAAACATGTGTCAAGAGTACTGCATTTTAAAAGATATTAAAACTGTACAATTTTTGTGTAAACATCTCTTCTGTCATCTGCAATTTATAAACACATCTATATATTTTACGATCTAACTTTGCCCTTTGATTTGCGTAATTCTCTGTTTTTCCACTAATTAAATGTGTTAATTTTCTGTGTTTAACTGAAAAATGCAAATATCTAGCAACTTGATAAAAAGAAAAAACCATACATACCATATTATTAATATTATATCATTATTATAATACACTATTAAATCTATAATACTAACATAAACCACATAAAATAGAAGACCCCTTTTGGCTTTAGTTTAATTTATTCCATATATTGTACGTATTTGATGGGGTATGGCAAACCCACCTGGATATTTCTGGGCAAGATCCCAGACTACATGCGACTATTTACATGGCCACTTACAACTGACAAACATTACGAGTTATGCATTAATTAGAATAAGATACTCTACGACTAACTGTAGGCTATTGTTTTGGTACAGCGAAAGGTCACGCATTGGTGGTTCCGTATGATGGGTGGTGGTGATGGTGGCGGTGCTCCTGCTCCTCCAACCATACCACCGTCCGCTCCTCTAGCTTCATTCAGCTCTGTGTCTCTGTGGGTAGAGGGTCTGCTATGGGTTTCGATGTGGTCGAAAACAGTCCTCCAAATGTCTTTCCTTGGCGTCTACAAATCAGTCTTTAGCAGGCCAGCGTTCTCGATTTGGTATACGATCTGGGTCTCCTTGTAAGTGCGTGGCTCCGGCTGCACTACGTCCAGTTTGCGGCGTCGTCGTCGCTGCACCACTCGCCACCAGATCAGTAGGATTAGCAGGATAAGCAGCAGTCCCAGGACCACACTTCCCGAGATGATGTAGGCCATGTAGCTGCGCTCCCGACACTGATCCGTGATCAGCATACGCAGCGGCATATAGGGCTGTACCCTCTGATCTCCACCAGAATCGGGTGGGTGGAACATCAGCTGATCGCTGTGGAGCCGGAAGAAGTCCGCCCGTGGCAATGGTGGCTCCACATTCCTGTCCAGCTGCTCACAGCTCCAGGAATTATCATAGCGCAGATCACGGATGCTGAGGGAGAAGCTGCCGTCAAAGCGCAGCGGCTGGGGGGCAATAGCTCCTCCTGTGCCATCTGCTCGGGGATCCGCACCTGGACGAGAGCTGCGCAGACTGTTGTTGTGGAAACGCAGCTCCAGGTGCTCGCTCAACTGATACGAACGATGAACGGTGAGGCTGCGGAAGGCAATCTCACTGGCGGCCCCGAAGTTATTGCCCCGAATTGTCACCGCATCCCTGATTTGGGCCTCCAACCACTCGCCATCCACGGACACAAAGTGGTTATCGCTTAAGCTTAACTTGGAGACAACTGGAAGAGATTAAGAGATTGATAAATGTTCCTTAAGAATATGTTATCAAAACCTACGCTTGAAGGAGAAGGCATGGGAGTGGACCTCCTGGAACTGATTGCCCCGCAGACTCAGCTCGTTGGTGACCTCGAGCTCGTAGAAAGCTCGGGTGGGCAAATCACCCAGGAATTGACAGTTGGCGATGGTCATCTGCTCCACGGCGAACTTCTTGAAGGCCTGTAAAACAAATCAGAATTGATATAATCCGTAAAACCCACAGAGGTTCTATTGCTGACTCACCTGACTCTCGATGCGCTGGATGGTGACCCCGTCGAATTTGAGCAATATGGCACTATCCTTGGTGGTGGTGAACCCAAAGGGCTTCATCAGATCGATCCGCCCGCCCACGAATGAGATCTCCGCGATGTTGCCATTGATGGCATGCGATTCGATTAGCTTGAGGTTCGTATGCTCGAATTCCACGATCAGAGCCTTGTTGCTGGCATATCGGGGCACACTCAAGGCGTACTCACGGAGCACCAGCTGACCCACCTGGCGGAAGGTCACCTTCTGCAGACCCATCGTGTCCGCCAGGCGATTGGCCTCCACCACAAGGTCCCGACAATTGCGGATCTCTATCGTGTCCACGCCTCCGTGCAGAAGTGGCAAAACCATGGGCTGCAAAATAAAGGAACGTTTAAAACTAAATACATCTATAAGAAATAAAGATCTAAGAAAGTGCCAAAAAAGTTTTGAACATACATGCCTAATGAAAATCCCTTTACATGAACAAGAAAAACTGTAAAGCAAATGAACACCCAAAAAGCTTAGGTGTACCATTACTAATTAAGCATTTAGACCTGCTGATAAAAAAAAACTGATACCATTTTTTGAAGAATTACTCATTGATATGATAAAAACCTAGTGTCAATGTTTTGGAAGGTATTTGTCATATCCCTTTTATACTGTAATGTTGTTTACAATCATTTTGACTTTTAAAAATAGAAAATTCGATAAGTATTAAATCTTCTAATACTAGGCTGAATAGATCTTTGAAAAATGGTTATGATATCATTTTTTTATGAGAAAACGGTATGTAAACATTTACGAGTTGACTCACCTGGTCGGAGTTATTGCAGTCGCAGGTGATGGTGGTTCCGTATTCCACACAGGTCACCTTGGCGGGATCCGCCTGGATGGAGTGGGGGAAAAGGAAGAGGAGGAAGAGGAGGGGCAGGAGGAACCATGTCCATGCCGTGGGATCCTTGAGATTTCTGATATTCCGCATGATTTCTCAACTGATCCGCCTATGGCTAATTATTCACTCATATTAACCTGTGCTTCTCGCTCTCTCTTTTCGTCTACTTATTCTCCGGCCCACTCTTTGTTCATTTTCTAGTTGTGTTTACCATCCGCTCCGTTTTGCACTGCTCTCCGCCGCAAGCGTTCCGTGGAAATGCTGATAAAGTCCGATTCCGATTCGTTCCAGCCTTATCTTTGAAGGTGTTTCTTATCTATAGTATAAGCACGCATATGTATGAGTTACAGACGTGTGTTGGCATTCGTGTGTCGAATTTCTGTGCTATATGTGTATGTTCGGGCCGTCAAACTGAAATTGAGCTCCATTTTTCCCCTCTTTATAGCAGATAATACCGATAGTTACTCCCTAACATTTCTAGTCCCATGTACCTCCCGAGTTTACCATAAATTGTATCTGATTCTCAGAAAAACATATAAATTAAGGTGGCATATCATACAAATATTTATACATATGCGCACTTACAGTTTGTAATCAAATACATTTGATACTAGTTTTAAAATCTATGATTAACGCTAAAGAAGAATATTGGTCAACATGAGTAACTACCCACATTAATCAAGTAAGAACAGATGTTTGGAAAATTGTGCACCTGTTTCATGCGACAAATTGCAGTTAAATTGGGCAATAGTCAAATGATTTTGGTAAATGCAAAAGGTTTTTGAATATTACGACATCTTGTACAAACTATTATTTCAATATTGATTGAGAAAGCAGTTCCAAAGATTCATGTAGAGTATCTTTTCTACACCTGTCGTCATTTAAAATTATGAAAAAATGCCTTTTAGTTTGGATGGTTAGCCCTGAATACAAAAAAAGTAAGCATGGGCGTCTTTGCACATTGTAATTTTCGGAACGGCGTGTTTCAAAGCCTCAAGGAGTCAACTTTGTTTATTACTTAAAGACTTAAAAGCTGAATTTCTAAACCATTTTATTAGTGCTAAAAAAACGTGTAAGTGCGGCATTGAGTATACAAAATTGGGATAAAATAACAACAGAAAACAGGCCTAAAAATACCAAAAAATACCAAAAATATATTTTTAAGAATATTGATGGATCTTGATATTAAAATTGATCAATTTATATACAACTTGCGTTGTTAAGTTGGAAACCCATCTACTTTGAAACTAATATAAGGCAAAAATTATATAGTAATATGTTTTAAATAAGTTTATAGCTTTATGGCTTGATTTACTTTCGGTTCGAAATGCCCATATGAAAGCATACACAGATAAAACTATCTAAAAACATTGTTCTTGAATTGAGAACACTGTTCTTCAATTGAGAACATTCGTTCTTAAAAACCGTGTAAGTACATTTTGGTATCAATATAATAACGAAATGGTGAGAAGAGAAAAGTTAAATTGAGTTTATTTAACAACTTTTTGATAAGTATACACTAAGGACTGAACTAATAGTTTATTTGTACTTAAATACCGCCAGTTCAACTTGATTCGAACAAAATAAAAACATTTTGAACTTAAAAATGTCGTTCTATTTTTAAGAACATTTTCAACTTAGATGAGAACGTCAGAATTTTCTCTGTGTGTGAACAACAAGTTGTTTATAGTATTTCAGGGAAGTGTATGATAAGATAGATTTATTAGTTAGTTAGCGTTAGTTTTTTTCTGATCCCAACGTCAGTGAATTTTCTGTGTTCAGCAAAACCGGGACACCTCTTTAATTGACAACCTTTTCCATTTTCGATCCTTGGGCCACAATCGCCGATCACAATAATTGTTGCTTCTTTCTATCTTGCATGTAAGATGTTTTTACTTTTTAAGTTCTAACTATAGTTTTCATAAGATTTATAGGTAAGAAACTAAAATGACAATTTAAATTCACATAGAGTAATCGATTGTGGAGCAATAGGTTCTAATCCAAACTTTCAAACGATCACAGTCTTAAGAAGTTAAAAATATTGTAATAAGAGGTTCG